ACTTTTGACCTTTATGATGCACCTAGGATATTCACTTTTACATCGGAAACCACCCCCAAAGTTTGAAATTGAAGCATTATTTCGACTAGTTATGCTGTAAACGGACATACACACACACAAAAAAAAAACACACATCATTGTAACATCAATACATTCATTACTTCGTTCAGAATCAAAAGGTGCACACCCTAAGTGAAAGTGGTTTTCTAACTTTGGACTCAAAATTTGCTATAATCYCTAAATTTAACTCATGTAAAATTAATTTTTCAAATATTGCATAATTATGTAATGTAATATACAATATGCCTAGTAAAAGTTTAATTTTGTAGAATTACATATTCGAGTTTTTGATGATTTTGTCAAAATCTGAAATTTATATGTTTATGTACGAAAATGATATATGACCATAGTTTTTATATTTTTTTATTTTTATCGATTATTTGTGGTTATAGATAGTAGATACGTAAGGTACCACAACAATAACATAGATAATAATATGTACGTTGATGAGTAGGTAAAGGGGAATGTAAAAAAATTTAAAATTTTTCTATTGTTAATCTAATAGCTATCTGGTATAAAAAAGTATGCGTCTTTTTCAATGATTTGTTGTTTTTTTTTTTAAAGTTGTGAGTAATATTTTTTATGGCAGACATTTTTAAGTTTGAGCGTAATATATTATATTATATTAATTATGCGCCAATAGAGAGAACATTGCCATTTTGCGCAGGCAGACTGACAGCGGCGAATTGTCCTATGTTGCTTTTCCCCCGCTTTGTAGTGCAGTGGTATAGATTCAAGATCGTACATTTATATATTATTATTGTATTGTCGATTGTTGTTTAATATATCGAATATTAACAAGCCGCTGTTGTCGATTGTGGGATGCGCGGAATTAGACGCGTTTTGGTCACGGTAATGTTCTCTTTTGGTGCAGAGTGTAAAAAGTAAGTGTGAAAAGTATGTCCTCATTACTTTTTAAGATAATCAGGAAGAACATRACAAAAATATTAATGAAAACTTAAATCTTTTTAAAAATCGGTCCTCAACCAAATTAATAAAGATTTTTTATTGTAATTAAAAAATGTAGTGATTTGAATTTTTACAAAATATTTTTATAACCATTTTCTTGACTTGATTAATTCTAAAATATTTTGACTCATTTCGTGCTATTAATACATAGTATAAAAAGTTACATAGAAGTTATATATTTAGAAGTTTACTATTTTTTGATTTTTGCATGATGAACATTTTATTTTCGGATAGGTAAGTATAAAATACAATTAGTTTATTAAGCTCTTAATGGGTCTTCTCATGTTGGTATTAATATTGGGCAATATTTAGGCAATGTGCAATTTCGTTAACGTCGRCCATGAAATTTGTGTTGGTAGTCAATATAAGGTGATTATTCATTAGTGTAACCATAATTTTGTGTTGTTGCTAGTCTATCATCGCGTACACTCGTACACATAAACAATTGAACCATCGACTATTAATGAAAATCGTGGTTTTTTACTCAAAACACGTTTTCTCAGAAAAACTCTCACGTATCGTAGAGTAGTCTGATTTAATTACTTTATTTTTCGTTAGAAAAAGGACAATTTTCTACAGAGCCCATCGAACTTTGATTTTTAATTTCATTGCTCAAACAAACATAGCATAAATAACAAAAGCTTGTGAAGTATTTCTCTTAAAAAAAATCCATATATATTATCGAAATCATATCACTCGGGTTGAGAGTTTTTCTTGCACAGCATATTTTTGAGTAAAAAAACTAGTCACGTACATGTTCCTTCAACTTTAAAGTTCAAATTAGTTTAAAATTCACCAAATAACCTGAAGATTATTTTGTAGAGGAAAATTCATAAAATGTTAAATTTTTACAACCAAGACTTGATCATTTAATACAAGATTTATCTAATTTTTATAACTGAAAATTAAAAAAAAAAATTAAGCTTTACTTGATTTTACTAAGACTCTTTCCAGTTACGGAGATCTGCTTTGCCAAAGATAAATCAAATTAGAATTTTCATTTTATTTAATTGATAAAAAGTTAATTGATTTCTTTTTAATTTAACTTAATATATTTTATTTACTTGACGAGTTATCAATCAATTTTCTACTTCTCGTAGTTAAAACAAAGTATAGTTTATATAAAAGTTTAAAAATAACAGCTCTTAGGGCTGCACATGCTGACATTTTTCTGAATTCAAATTAGTAATTACTACACCATATGGCAATTATATCGGAATCACTACTAATATCTTATATTAAAGCTAACTTAATAATTGCTCACCTAATCATAATTACCTATTGAGATACATTTTTAGTATTCTACTATTTACCGCAAAATCATGAAGTTTTTAAAAAATTGTTTATTTTAGATTCTGAGCGGAACGATGAATGTATTGATTTTACCATGATGTGTGTATTTTTTTTTTTGTGTCTGTCATCACGTTTTGGGGCAGTAAAAGTGCTTCGATTTTTGACTTCAGTACCTCGTTCGATCAGAAAGTGAATCTAGTTGGTACTTTGGGGGGGTCAAAACTAAAAAATGTTCAATATTTTTCTAAATAATC